CTATTTATATTAAGTTATTAACATGCCTTGTCTTTATAATAAACGATGTTTGGTGCATATTCATAATGGCTCTATTTTTAAGCACATTATTTTGTTTTCATATAAACATTAATACATTGTATAACAGACAGTAATGGAACAAGGTCCACTTTATGCATATTAAATAGGTGTATTTTTTACTATCCGGATTACTATCCGGTAGTGATATCCGACCGGAGCCGAATAGCACCGGATAGTAAAAAATGCCGGATATTCGCCAGAAGCCGGAGCCGGAGGGACTATCCGGTGCACCCCTAATATAAATATACATATTTATATATTTATTTTTATTTATATATGTATATATACGTTTATCAGTGAAAAAAAATGTAAATGCAAATAGCAAAACTCAAGAAGATTCGATTAAAAGTTTTCATACCAATAGCCTTGAATATAAGAGCACCAACTTTTCACTGAGAAGGTTGTCAAAAAACTATATGTCAACTTTCCGACTTCAAAGGATTGTAAGTTGTAAAACTGGTTAAACATCTGAACATAATTCAAATGTGATGTGTATATTCCTATCCCATAGGCCTTGTTGGCAAGACAAAACATTATTTAATGAGTAAGTGTATGTATATTATAAAACCTAGACATATGAGGGATAGAATTCGACTTCTCTACAATAAGCAATTAAAGTAATCAAAGTAAAAGTGAAAGCCAGCCATTTTAAAGTTTAGGCCGATACGAACTAATCAAGGACATGTCTTCCTTTTCTTCCGGACGTCTGGTAAAGTAAAAAGTAAAGTTCCCCTGTGAGACCCTGTGGTCTAAAGGGCTCATGATGTAAAGGTCATCTGGTTCTGTGGTTTACGGTTAACGAGGATTTCCCCTCAGCCACCGCGTCTGGTAACCCTAGCCAAACTTACAGCCGAATAGCCATCTCGTCTGGTACCCCTAGCCAAACTTACAGCCGAATTGCAGCTTAATAGTCCGATCCACAACCAAATCTGCAACGACTTCAACCTCTTTCTTTCCTGAATTCGGCCTGTGTTTTCAATTGTTATTATATAATCATTATTTCTCGATTCCATACTGGAAAAGTGAGACTCCATTAACTAGTTGTGTATACAAGCTAATTGTTCTATTTAACATTTTTAACATAAGTCAAAGCATATGTCATTCCAAAAGTTAAAGTCTCTTTTATTAACCAATAGAGATAATGACAAGCAGCGTTAACCCGAAAACTTCCCTTGGAACAGAATCTGTCCAGTGACCTTGTCTCTCAGAAAGTACACGAACGGATGATTGGCAATGAATGACGCTGGTGGTGGCAAAGGAAGTGACCTAAAGGTGGATATTACGGTGGCAGCAGCAGCTACGGTACCAGTTTCTCGGACATCAATTACAGCCTTGTGTATAACTTCATCAAAGGAGAGTTGACCTAAGAGGAAGTGAAGAAACAAAATATAAAGCTTTTTTTTTTCTAATTAACATCTCAACTTCAATGAGTGGAATATATACATGTTGAGATCCACTCAGTTAATAGTTTGGGAGATGCGGTGGCTGAGCGGTAAAGGGTTGATTTCCAAACCGGGGGTCATGGATTCGAATCCAGGTGAAGACTGGGATTTTTATTTTGGGATCTTTAGGCGCCTCTGAGTCCACTCAGCTCTAATGGGTACCTGACAATAGTTAGGGAAAAATAAAGGCGGTTGGTCGTTGTGCTGGCCACATAACACCCTCATTAACCGTAGGCCACAGAAACAGATGACCTTTACATCATCTGCCCTATGGACCACAAGGTCTGAAAGTCAAACTTTCACTTTACTTTACTTTACAGTTGATAGTTTAGTTATCTTCATTTTATAACTAGATTGGTTTTAGTGAGAAATATAACACGAACTGAAAAAACAAATATAGCATAATAAAAACAAGATACGTTTCTGTTATCACAAACTCAAGTTCGGCCCCCGAAGGTTCCACCCTTGGTTCATATTTGGTAAGCAATAGTAAGCAATCTCGTGTGGAGTTTTTGATCTCCCATCAAGCGCCTCCCCAGGTGGCGGATAGGGGAATGCCCTCCAGATATGGTGGGTACCGGCGAAATAAAATACCTGGGGTGGACCAAAATCAAACCTGCTGCCTTGCAGGAAGTGGAGGGATCCACAAAGGCTAGGGCACCTTACCCGAAAATAAAGGCAGCTATCCAGAGAGCTGAAAGGGGCAGCCCCCCAGATGGTTATGCACAGGGCTAACAACTCTGTCATATAAAAAATACTGTTACGAAAGCTAATACACACTAGAAAACCCGGACAGATCTCAACGGAAAACGACCTAGGCCTGGAAAAGGACATGATTTTTGTTTTGCGACATGGAACGTGCTAAGCCTTTATAGAGCTGGTGCGCTAGCCCAACTTACTGAAGTGTTAAAGAAATATAGGATACCCCTTGTATCCCTACAGGACATCAGGTGGAAAGACTCGGACATTCTCAGAACCAAGGAGTATACTATATTTTATAGTGGTGGAAGCACTAACAACTTAGGTACAGGTTTTGCTGTTAAAAAAAAATAGTAGGTAATGTCATTGGATTTAAACCTGTATGTGATAGACTCTGCTCATTGCGTTTGAAAGGAAAATTCTTCAACATATCATTTATCAATGTTCATGCCCCTACTGAAGATGCAGATGATAACACAAAAGAAGACTTCTATGATGGACTGGAAAGAATTTATGATGAAGCACTAAAGCATGACATCAAAATAGTCCTAGGAGTTTCAATGCAAAAATTTGAAAGGAACCAGCATTCAGACCAACCATTGGCAAAGAAAGCTTACACGAAGAGACCAACAATAATGGCATAAGATTAGTGGATTTTGCATCAGGAAAAGGAATGTCTATCAGCAGCACAAAATTCCAACATAAGAATATTCACAAGGTTACCTGGATCTCACCTGATGGCAACACCCAGTATCAAATAGATCATATACTCATACATAAGAGACATGGATCAGACATACTAGATGTAAGAAGTTTCAGAGGAGCTAATGCTGACTCAGACCACCTACTAGTAAAAGCTAAACTTAGACAAAGAATAAGTACCATACACAATTACCAAAGAAAGAGAGCACAGCAATATAATAGTCAAAAACTCACAAAGGATCCACGTGTTGCAGAAACTTATAGAATTGCACTCCAAACGCAACTGACAACATTAGAAAAGGACAGCGAAAATAACATAAATGAGCACTGGGAAATAATAAAGCCTGCTATCAGAAGAACATCAGAAGAGGTAGTTGGATGTAAACAAAAGAACGAGACAATAGGGGGGGGGTATGAGGGCAGACTATAGAGGAGAAGAACAATGCTACAGAGAGAAATCAGGAACACTAGACAGCAATACAATGAAGCAAGAAGAGAAACCAGGAACACTAGACAGCAATACAATGAAGCAAGAAGAGAAACCAGGAACACTAGACAGCAATACAATGAAGCAAGAAGAGAAACCAGGAACACTAGACAGCAATACAATGAAGCAAGAAGAGAAACCAGGAACACTAGACAGCAATACAATGAAGCAAGAAGAGAAACCAGGAACACTAGACAGCAATACAATGAAGCAAGAAGAGAAACCAGGAACACTAGACAGCAATACAATGAAGCAAGAAGAGAAACCAGGAACACTAGACAGCAATACAATGAAGCAAGAAGAGAAACCAGGAACACTAGACAGCAATACAATGAAGCAAGAAGAAGGGCCACAAAAGTTGTAAGAAAGAAAAAACGGGAATGGGAAAAGTCCAAGATTACTCAAATTGAGGAACTAGCAAAGAAGGGAGACATGAGAGGAATGTATATAAAAATTAAATATGAAAAGAACGGATTTCAAGCTAGATCACACATGTGTGAGAACAAAGATGGTCAGCTCATTACAGAAAACAGCAGGGTCATTGAGAGATGGGCTGAATACTTTGAGGAGATCTTAAATACCACTGAAGATGGAGACAATGGAGAATAAGAACTGCCACATGGGGGACCAGATCCCTTAGTGAACCCTCCAACACTCATTGAAACATCAGAAATAATTAGGACCATGAAGAATCACAAAGCACCAGGAGAGGACCAAATTACAACAGAACTAATTAAATATGGAGGGAAAGACTTACATTCCCAAGTACACAGACTAATATCAAGATTTGGGAAGAAGAAGTAATACCAACAGAATGGGAAACGGCTCTTATAACCCCAATACACAAAAAAGGATCCAAGTTAAAGTGCTGTAATTACAGAGGAATCTCTCTACTAAATGTGACTTATAAGATACTGTCTAGGCTTATAACTAAGAGAGTTGGAAAATATTCAGAAGAAATCTTAGGTGACTACCAATGTGGTTTCAGACACAACAAATCCACAACCGACCACATCTTCACACTAAGATGTATACTAGAAAAATGCCATGAATACAACATACCAATCCACCAACTCTTTATAGACTATAAAATGGCTTATGACAGTATCAGAAGGAAATACCTATATGACACTCTACAGGATTTTGGAATACCCAACAAGCTGACAAGACTTATACATATGACATTAAACAAATCAAAAAGCAAAGTCATAATACAAGGAGAACACTCACGGGAATTTAGGATTAAACGAGGATTAAGACAAGGAGACGCACTTTCCTGCATGTTTTTCAATTTAACACTGGAGAGAGTTATAAGAAATTTACACATAAACACAAGGGGAACTATCACTATCTACTTCAGGAGAGAAAACACGGGTCCACAACCAACAGGGACGATATACAGCCAACCTCTACAATACCTTGCTTATGCCGATGACATTGCCTTATTTGGTAAAGAAACCTCTGACATCGTTAGAGCCTTCTTACAACTAGAAGAAGCATCTCGACCAGCAGGACTTGAGGTCAATGACAGTAAAACCAAGTACATCACAATGACAAGAGACAATCAAACAGAGGGACAAAATATCAAAATCAAAGACCACGAATTTGAAAACGTCCAAACTTTCAAATATCTAGGAAGTACTATTAATTTAAAAAATGACCTACTAACAGAAATAATGGAAAGAATAGCAGGAGGCAACAGGGCATTTTATAGCACTCACCATTTACTTAAGAGCAAAACGATTTCAAGGAAAACCAAGAAAATAATATACAAAACTATAATAAGACCAGCACCAATGTATGGAAGTGAGACCTGGACACTGACAAAGACATCTGAAAATTTACTTAATATTTGGGAAAGAAAAATCTATGGTGCCATACAGGATGAAACAGGGTGGAGGACACGCACTAACCATGAGATATATCCATTGTATGAAGAGCCACCAATAGTGAACGAAATAAAAAAGAACAGACTACGTTGGGCAGGTCACCTTGAAAGAATGTCAGAGAAACAGAGGGGCGAAAATCGTATACAGGCAAAAACCAAAAGGCAGGCGACCCAAAGGCAGACCCCGAATGCGATGGATAGATGATGTGGAAGCAGATCTGAAGCAGCTTGGGGGTTAGGGCGTGGAGACGAAAGGCCCAGGAGAGATCTGAATGGAAGGATGTGTTAAAGCAGGCCAGAGCCCTCCATGGGCTGTAGCGCCACTGGGATGGATGAATAGTAAGCAATGTATGTAACAACAGCATATAAAAATTCTTTAAAAAGAAAAAACCCAACTTTTATCAAGCTTAGTTGTATCAATTAGTTTGGATCAGTCATGTAATAAAATTTGTAATAAGATCTAGACTAAAAATAACAGATTTATGCGATTAGAAATATTTTAACAATTGTTTTTATTTAGCGCAGTTTCATGCTTTTAGCTTTCTCAATTAGCTATGATCCTAACACTTGTCTGTACCAGTTGGAAAGGGGTGGGGACGATACCCAAAAATAATTAATTTACCAAAAGTTAATAAGCTTATTGGTTGATTTTTAAAAAAATTGATTTTGTTTTTGTCAGGGGAATGGGGTAAGTGTGCGAAATTTCAGCTTAATCCGGAGATTGGGTGTGTGAGAAATAACGACTAGGTCTACAAACGTCTACCAGACAGACAGCTTAGTCAAAGTGGAAGGTTTCAATACTTTCAGCAGACAAATCAGAAGCATATTGGACAGCTATAATAATTATACTATAAAAAAAATAATTAATTAATAATAATAAAAATGAAAAAATTAAATTGTTTTGAATAAATTAGTAAACTGTTTTTATACACTTTATAAAGTGTGTAATGGTGTAATCAAATTAAATGACCTGTGTTTTTGATTATAAATAGTAATAGTAATAAAAATGGTGTATTTTTTTTACTTTTATGAAAAATTCGGCTTACAAATTTAACTTTTAACAAATTTGTTCGCATTCAGACAATAAAAAGCAGTCGCCGCACCTAACCTATGCTAGCTCTAAAATATGAAATTGGATTTGCAATATCCTTTCTAGATATTGAGATGGAAATCCTAAATCGACCTATGTTATAAGATCTACCGAGTCAACAAACCGATCTATACGAACTTTAGGGACGCCAGTATTAAGTGACCCGAATTAGGTTTAATATGTAACACACAATTATTACGTATGGAAGGATTTTTAATCATTTACAAACACAGCCCCCAGAATATTTTAAAAAAGTAACGTTACCCCCCTTCCCCCCCCCCCCCCCCCCCCGTGTTTAGCCAATTACGGAGTTTGTTGAAGGGTCTTAAGCTACTAGAGAAGATTGCGGGGAAAGCCATGGCGCCAAGCGTTTCCATGTTTTCTGGGTTTCAGAAACTCATTTTAAGGTCAGACCTGTGACTAAGCAATGCGCCATTGGCCTAAACTGCTTACAGGTTGCGACGTCACAGGTCAGTGTTCAGCCCTACTATCTATAACAATTGGTCTCGCTTCAACGCGCTATTTTGAGACTCTCAAAAGTCTTAGAGCAAGTATACGCCTGAAAGGGACTTAAAGAGCTTCTTGACTTTTATGAATCGATCTGGTACCAGACATTTTTAAAAAGCAAACTGTCCAACTTAACAGGTAAAAAACGATGTTCATTCATTTACTTTATGAAATTTATTTTAAACATTGGCAATAATTTTTTTTTACTTGGCCATTTCTCAAATATGAAATTTAAACTGCAATGCAAGTACACGGCAATTTTTTAACCCTGAAAACAACAATAACATAACTCCCCTTTTGTTAATACGTCCCGTCCTACTGTTGGAGAAACTGTGAGGTGTGGTAATCCTAGCTTTAATAACGTGTACAAGATTCCATCCATCCATCCATCCATCCAGACAGACAGACAGAAAGAACATACATTTTTGATCCTATACCTGTACGAGTGATTCCAGTAAAGTCCGCTCTAGCTGGGTTGAAAGCGTCACTAATGCCAAGCTCCACCAATGTTTTCTTGAGTTTCAAAGAGGTCTCTATTTTAAACTTCGGGATTTCGACTTTGGCTCTGACAGGGGTTAGTCCAACAAATAGTTGACTGGTCTTTCCAGGCAGGGGCAGCAACATTTCTAAAAGAAACATTTCGTTAGTGGCATGTTGAAGTGCCAATTATCCACTGTTTTATTGGGAGAAGAGTTTGTGATAATGTGATGATGTTGTATAAGGTGAGATAATTTTATAATGTTGTATAAAATGAGATTTGATAATATTGTATAAAGTGAGATGTGACGATTTTGTATAAAGTGAGTTTTTTTTTATGATGTTATATAAAGTGAGTTTATGTGATAATGTTGTATAAAGTGAGTTTATGTGATAATGTTGTATAAAGTGAGATGATGTGATGATGTTGTATAAATAGAGTTTATGTAATGATGTATAAAGCTAGATGATGCGAGGATGCTGTATAAATTGAGATGAAATGAGGATGTTGTATAAGACAGATGCAGTGAAGATGTTTTATAAAGTCTAGACAATTAAGAAAACGTTCATAAGCTGTTGTCTTAGAAGACATTTTTTTTTTTTTTTTTTTTTTTTTGCACTTGTTAGCACTGAAGAATCAATTCATTTTGCAAGTTAGTCCGTTTGTAGCACAGCTAATTTCAATATCTAGAAATCATTAGAACTTCAGTCATGGACTTAAACTTATTTAAAAACAAATAGGTAACTAGATAGCGGTAATGAAGGAGATTTGATACACAGATCAAGCGCAACGTAATGTGATCTTGTTCAAACTAGAGCTCAAGTAATTTCTTTATTTGGATGGTAACAGTGAAACTAAATTCAGCTTTTAGTGTCCTTAATTTATTGGGGGAAATCTCCAATACGATTAATACAGTCAGGCCGAGACAACTATAAAACCACATTTCTCATGGAAAGTGCACATTTTCCATTTAAAATTCACATTTCAAGGCATTGGGGTACACTTTTCATTTTTTTTTTATGTAGAAACCTCTGTATTATCAAGCAGTACATTCTTTTTAATGTCTCGGAACATAGACCAGAATGCAAAACATACAAACATAAACATGCAGATGCATTCTTAAACCACAGGGTTGTCTAGACAGCATGGAGTAGAATTTGTTTACAGAAACCACTTCAAATCTGGAAGAATAGGTTGAAGCAGTGACGAATTACATCAAATTCTGTGAAAACATGTGTATCAGTACTAAGAGTATCAAGATATACCCCAACAACAAACCATGGGTCATTGCAAAAATAAAACGGGAAATCATCAAAAAAGAAAAGAGCATTTATGAGTGGCGATGGACAGACAAGGAAAATAGCTCTAACGAAATCTCAACGTCGTTCTTGAGAAAGGGAGGACAAATTACCGCACCAAGGACTCGATTAAGACAAATGACATGAGACAGGCGTGGGGCATCATGAACAAAATGGCAGAAGCACAAGTCAAAAGTAAAAATAATCTTGCTACGAAAGACGACAAGACATTAGCCAACGAGTTAAATGATTTCTATTGTCGTTTCGACACTAACGATTTTAATTTTCTAAAACTCAAAGCACTGGAGGATGTCAAAGTTAACAACTGTTTAGAATTAGCGATTACTAAAGAGCAAGTCTGCAACATTTTCAAAATCGTCAACCCATTGAAAGCTGATGGTATACAAGGGCGAATCTTAAAAGAATATGCTAAACAACTAGCTGACCCTTTCCTAGAGATTTTTTCCACTTCATTACTAAACCACGAGATACCATCTGTGTGGAACTCTTGCTTTAGACCTGTTTCAATTTACATGTTTACATTTAAAATTTTACATTTTACATGTAAAATACTAGAACACATAATATGTAGCAATATCATAAACCACTTAGACAAACATAATGTCCTCACCCCATACCAACATGGCTTTAGGAAATATAGATCATGTGAAACACAACTAATAGGACTAATTGATGATTTTTCAAAAGGTTTAGATAATAGTGAACAAATAGATGCTATCTTACTAGATTTTTCCAAGGCTTTTGACAAAGTTCACCACCATAGTTTGCTTAAAAAATTAAAATATTTCGGCATTAATGGTCCACTTCATCAGTGGATTAAAGATTTTCTGATAGGGAGAGAACAAACTGTAATAATAAATGGCTCTAAATCAACACCAATAACAGTAAACTCAGGTGTACCTCAAGGAACAGTCTTGGGTCCACTACTATTTTTAATTTACATAAATGATTTACCAAATTGCATTAGTTCAGGAACAAAAGTCAGATTATTTGCAGACGATTGCATAATATATAGAACAATAAAAACAACACAAGACACAGATATTTTACAAAGAGAATTAGATGAATTACAGAAATGGGAATCAAATTGGAGCATGTCTTTCCACCCAGAAAAATGTCAGTTGTTAAGAGTAACAAAAAAACTAAAACAAATTAATTCCACTTATTTTATTCATGGCAAACCAGTAACACAGACTAAAAACTCAAAATACCTAGGTGTTATAATAAATGAAAAACTGTCATGGAATCCGCATATTGATGAAACTATAAAAAAAATCCAACAAAGCATTAGGATTTATTAAAAGAAATTTCTATAAATCAAATAAGAACATAAAACTAAAATGTTATTTAACCTTGGTTAGGCCAATAATAGAATATGCATCCACCGTGTGGGACCCCTCAACTCAAGAAAACATTAAGAAACTGGAACAGACACAAAATAGAGCAGTGAGATTCATAACAAACGAATATTCACATTTGACTAGGGTAACACCATTAGTAAAATCACTAAATTTAGAAAGCCTTCAGGACAGAAGACTCAAAAGTAAAGTAGCAATTATACATAAAACACTGAACCATAATCTTCAAATACAAAAACAAAATTTAATAAAATACTCTGAAAGACACAAAAATAAAGGCACATTCCTCGTCCCATATGCTAGGACAAATTTGTACAAATACTCCTTCTTCCCTAGTGCTATTAGAGCATGGAATGGGTTGCCTGAGCTAGCCAGAAAAACCAGTGACTTGGCAGAATTTAAGTCATTGGTTAATATGCATGACTAAATGCATGACGCGTAGGACGTAATCATATTCTTTTTTGAAGTAACGTCTGTATTATATAAGATAAGATACTTCCATTGTGTCTAAATGTTTAGAAAAACTGGTTAAAGTGTTTCTTCTGAATGATCTGTGTAGTAAGTTGGACCCTTTACAATTTGCTTACCAAAAGGGTAATGGTGTAGACGCTGCCATCCTAAATATTTTAAATTGTGTCTACAAACATCTGGACTTACCTAACACTTATGTAAGATTGTTCTTTGTTGATTTCTCATCATACAACTTCATTTACTTATTGACAAAATGAAAGCGTTGAAGACAAGTCCATATATAATACTATAGGCTAATAAATTTTTGATCCTAATACCTCAGAGGGTTAGGGTAAACAATGCAATATCAAATGCACGCATTGTCAACACAGGGGCGCCCCAGGGGGCTGTGACATCGCCATTATGGTTCATTTTGTACACCAATGATTTTCAATCCGATAAGTCCTTTTTGTACCTTCACAAATTCGGAATAATAAATCCCCCTTTGGGTTAGGATTTTGGATTTCACCATCAGAAAAGAGATACAAGACACCGATAGCAAAGACAAACAGACACAAACACTCTTTTTTTCCCCTGGCAATCAAATCATTAAAAAAAAACAATTTGATTTAAACTTTTCACATGTAGATTATGAGTGAGTCTGGTGTGAATGTACATTTTGTTTCTTTCTAGTTACAATGTTTTGTTTGGTGTAGTGCACACATTGTAAGTTAAATTTCTATATGGACAATAAAGACTATTATTATTATTATTATTATAAGACAGATTCTGATAAGTTTAATGATATAAATATAATGCTTACCTAGTTCAGTGATGGCTTCAGCGCTCTGGGGTAATGCAATGTAAA